GCTATAATTCGTGGGCACAAAAGGGGTCCGACTTACAATCGAGCGCGACTTACTACTGAAATGCTTATATGGTAGCAATATGGCTCAAACCTGAAAATGGCGGTGCGACTTATAATCGGGGAAATACGGTAACTGTCCACCAACGTAACATTTTGTCCTTCTCCTTTTTCACCATAATTTAAAGGGGAAGTTAAGGCAAAAATTAAAATTTCACCAGTTGTAGTCTTCGGGGTGCTGAGTCGAATGGTCTTGGTCCGAGAAAGCTGAGACGCTCCCTTCCTACTTGAATCCCAATCGAACTCGCGCAATTCCACCGAAACTGGGTGACTGCGCACTACTAGATGGGGATTTGTATGCAAAATGTCACTAAAAGCGCCATTTCGTTCTTATAAAAGGACGGATGACCGCGATTGGCCCATATGTTGTACTCTTTTGGATGCTGAGTCGACTGGTTTTGGTCCGAAAAGGCTGCGATGCAGCGTTCCTCCTTTATTCCCAATCGAACATGGTTGAACAAGCGGTCACGTGCTCCTGGGTGCCCAAATCACCTGGTCACCACGCCAGCAGGCGACAACTTTCACACCAAGGTTCAACTCGAGTGACAGGACTGCACCCAAAAAAGGTCAAACAGGCTAGTAAGTTGCACCCTGCAGGCACGGTGATCAGGTGACTGGTGTACGCATCCGAGTTCAATTGTACAGTATCCTGGTTTATAAATGTACTACTCAATGATATCACCTAAAAGATAGCTACAAGCACTGAGAAATGCTTTCGTATATTGGATGATGCTAGGGAGGCAACGTTGCCTCGCTTCCCAGACACTCTTCTCCCCTTTTGTCTACAAACAGCAATTCCATATGTATTCGTGAATGGACTCGGAAGATTGTGAAGATTGTGAAGTAACTGGTGATGTAAGTGGACATAGCTGTAAAACCAGAAAGTCTAACGAGTCACAAAGTCTAACTTTCTAAGGACCAATTTTTTCCGTTATTTGAAGAAACGCTATCGCGAGATGTCTGGGTAAAGATGATTTACAGATGGGTGGCCAGGTTCTGCACATTATCATGCCAAAATTACAAAAATGTTAAACTTTCCGGTTTCACAGTATAGGGTAACTGTTCCTCGGGCTTTGTGAATGCTTGGAATATCCGCATGGATCATGGCATGATTGAAATCGCAATGACATAACAGTGGCATCGTCATTATGTAAGAATGGCATCACAACGAATCTATGAGTAAACCCAGCCATCGCCATCACAACCTTGCACAAGTCATTGTCCTGACGTCACGATGACATCACAATGACATCACAATGACATTACCAGTGCTGAAACGATTACGTTTTTTCCTTAGTGGCTTAGCTGATACCATAACAATCGGCTTGTCGGCTAAGCGATTATTATTGTAACTACATCAGTACATTGTACATTCTGTGAATTTCAAAAAAAATACGAGTCCAACATCGCCAACGACGGAATGCGGGCGCATAGATCCGATGATCCCGCAATAAGTCCGTCAGCTGTTCGGACTGACCAGACGAATACAGACAAGACAGAGGCAACTCATTGGTTGCAACCCAAGAGCTGATGGTGCCCTTTGCCTGTGACTTCGCTGACTCCGACGATGAAGTCAGAGAAGCCGGCCAGGGGTGCAGATTGGCGGATTTTGACAGATGAGCTGACGTGAGGCGCACCAACAAGTAACTAGTTGCTTTTCCTGTCTATGCTCAAAATAGGCCCAGACGCCAGGCCTAGCTCGTCGTCGAGCAAACTGGTTCGGGAACCATCGCCAGAACGGAAAACATGAAACTGAAGACCACTTTACTGTCTTTAGCTCAAGACTACTCGCACGTGGAGGGAACTCCAGCCCCTGCAGCTAGTGTAGACACATACTGAGCCTTCCCGTCATGCGTGCTGTATGTAATTGTAAGAAAAGTAGTCAGCTCAAAAGACGGCGACGGTGATCACGTCGATGTTTCTCAGATCGCGCTTGTACTTTACACGTACATCGATGTTGCAAATGGCAGTCATGTACATATTCGTGTCGTACTCGCAACACTTTCGATGCATGCACGCTTTGTGTGACCCCCAAAAGGGGGGAAATCCCGCCCCGAGCGTAAGTACCATTCAGGCATTCTACTCGTTTAGCCGATAAAATCGAAATAACCGTTCGATCTATTTCTTATCGAGTAAGTAACGAGTAATCTATATAATCGTTTCAGCACTAGACATTACCCAGACTGTATAATGACATAACAGCTACACAACGCTCCAGAGTCTCCTCACCTTGATGAGATCAGGCAGCGAGGACCAGAAAGAGAAGTTAGGGATTAGCTCAACACCGGTCTTGTGCTGGGCTACTCCATACGCCACTCCAGCAGCCAAGTACACTGGAACTAAGACAAATAATCTACAGCGGAAAGCATACAAAAGCACGCGCAACACACACACACACACAATCTACTCAAACGATCCCAAATCTTCACGAGCTGCAAAAAATTGTCCTACTGGTGTCGTACTCCACAGGATAACGTGCTAGCAATTCAATGCTGATAAAGATCTGCTCTGGGAACAGTCATAGATTGGGGTCTTAAAAAAAACCTTTTGGCTCAGTGTGCAAATCACTGGTAGTAACCCTTATATGGAGCAGCAACTTCCTTACACATGATAATAGAAGAGTATGCACAGTAAGACCTGTAACTAAAGACCACCCTGACTAGTGACCAGCCTGGTACTACAGTAAAACCTGTAACTAAAGACCACCGTGACTAGTGACCAGCCTGGTACTACAGTAAAACCTGTGACTAAAGACCACCGTGACTAGTGACCAGCCTGGTACTACAGACCACTGTGGCTAGTGACCAGCCTGGTACTACAGTAAAACCTGTGACTAAAGACCACCCTGACTAGTGACCAGCCTGGTACTACAGACCACTGTGACTAGTGACCAGCCTGGTACTACAGTAAAACCTGTAACTAAAGACAACCCTGACTAGTGACCAGCCTGGTACTACAGTAAAACCTGTAACTAAAGACCACCCTGACTAGCGACCAGCCTGGTACTACAGTAAAACCTGTAACTAAAGACCACCGTGACTAGCGACCAACCTGGTACTACAGTAAAACCTGTGACTTGAGACCACCGTGACTAGCGACCAGCCTGGTACTACAGTAAAACCTGTAACTAAAGACCACCGTGACTAGCGACCAGCCTGGTACTACAGTAAAACCTGTAACTAAAGACCACCGTGACTAGCGACCAACCTGGTACTACAGTAAAACCTGTAACTAAAGACCACCGTGACTAGCGAACAGCCTGGTACTACCGTAAAACCTGTAACTAAAGACCACCCTGACTAGTGACCAGCCTGGTACTACAGACCACTGTGGCTAGTGACCAGCCTGGTACTACAGTAAAACCTGTGACTAAAGACCACCCTGACTAGTGACCAGCCTGGTACTACAGACCACTGTGACTAGTGACCAGCCTTGTACTACAGTAAAACCTGTAACTAAAGACCACCCTGACTGGTGACCAGCCTGGTACTACAGTAAAACCTGTAACTAAAGACCACCCTGACTAGTGACCAGCCTGGTACTACAGTAAAACCTGTAACTAAAGACCACCGTGACTAGTGACCAGCCTGGTACTACAGTAAAACCTGTAACTAAAGACCACCCTGACTAGTGACCAGCCTGGTACTACAGACCACTGTGGCTAGTGACCAGCCTGGTACTACAGTAAAACCTGTAACTAAAGACCACCGTGACTAGCGACCAGCCTGGTACTACAGTAAAACCTGTAACTAAAGACCACCCTGACTAGTGACCAGCCTGGTACTACAGTAAAACCTGTAACTAAAGACCACCCTGACTAGTGACCAGCCTGGTACTACAGACCACTGTGGCTAGTGACCAGCCTGGTACTACAGTAAAACCTGTGACTAAAGACCACCCTGACTAGTGACCAGCCTGGTACTACAGACCACTGTGACTAGTGACCAGCCTTGTACTACAGTAAAACCTGTAACTAAAGACCACCCTGACTGGTGACCAGCCTGGTACTACAGTAAAACCTGTAACTAAAGACCACCCTGACTAGTGACCAGCCTGGTACTACAGACCACTGTGGCTAGTGACCATCCTGGTACTACAGTAAAACCTGTGACTAAAGACCACCCTGACTAGTGACCAGCCTGGTACTACAGACCACTGTGACTAGTGACCAGCCTGGTACTACAGTAAAACCTGTAACTAAAGACCACCCTGACTAGTGACCAGCCTGGTACTACAGTAAAACCTGTAACTAAAGACCACCCTGACTAGCGACCAGCCTGGTACTACAGTAAAACCTGTAACTAAAGACCACCGTGACTCGCGACCAACCTGGTACTACAGTAAAACCTGTGACTAAAGACCACCGTGACTAGCGACCAGCCTGGTACTACAGTAAAACCTGTAACTAAAGACCACCGTGACTAGCGACCAGCCTGGTACTACAGTAAAACCTGTAACTAAAGACCACCGTGACTAGCGACCAACCTGGTACTACAGTAAAACCTGTAACTAAAGACCACCGTGACTAGCGAACAGCCTGGTACTACCGTAAAACCTGTAACTAAAGACCACCGTGACTAGCGACCAGCCTGGTACTACAGTAAAACCTGTAACTAAAGACCACCGTGACTAGTGACCAGCCTGGTACTACAGTAAAACCTGTAACTAAAGACCACCCTGACTAGTGACCAGCCTGGTACTACAGACCACAGTGACTAGTGACCAGCCTGGTACTACAGTAAAACCTGTAACTAAAGACCACCCTGACTAGTGACCAGCCTGGTACTACAGTAAAACCTGTAACTAAAGACCACCCTGACTAGCGACCAGCCTGGTACTACAGGAAAACCTGTAACTAAAGCCACCGTGACTAGCGACCAACCTGGTACTACAGTAAAACCTGTGACTAAAGACCACCGTGACTAGCGACCAGCCTGGTACTACAGTAAAACCTGTAACTAAAGACCACCGTGACTAGCGACCAGCCTGGTACTACAGTAAAACCTGTAACTAAAGACCACCGTGACTAGCGACCAACCTGGTACTACAGTAAAACCTGTAACTAAAGACCACCGTGACTAGCGAACAGCCTGGTACTACCGTAAAACCTGTAACTAAAGACCACCGTGACTAGCGACCAGCCTGGTACTACAGTAAAACCTGTAACTAAAGACCACCATGACTAGTGACCAGCCTGGTACTACAGTAAAACCTGTAACTAAAGACCACCCTGACTAGTGACCAGCCTGGTACTACAGTAAAACCTGTAACTAAAGACCACCGTGACTAGCGACCAGCCTGGTACTACAGTAAAACCTGTAACTAAAGACCACCGAGACTAGCGACCAACCTGGTACTACAGTAAAACCTGTGACTAAAGACCATCGTGACTAGCGACCAGCCTGGTACTACAGTAAAACCTGTAACTAAAGACCACCGTGACTAGCGACCAGCCTGGTACTACAGTAAAACCTGTAACTAAAGACCACCGTGACTAGCGACCAACCTGGTACTACAGTAAAACCTGTAACTAAAGACCACCGTGACTAGCGAACAGCCTGGTACTACCGTAAAACCTGTAACTAAAGACCACCGTGACTAGCGACCAGCATGGTACTACAGTAAAACCTGTAACTAAAGACCACCGTGACTAGCGACCAGCCTGGTACTACACACCACTTCGTCAGGCACGGACGGTCTCGCCTTAATTGTGGTTGAGTGGTGGGAACCTCTAACTAAGGACCACCTGTCACTAAAGACCGCTTTCTGTGGCCGCAAGGGGTGGTCAGTAATCACAGGCTTTACTCTACTATACAGTGTATACAGTAAAACATGAAATTTTCGGTTTTACTTTAATTTCGGTGATTTCGGTGGAGAAACCAGGCACCTAAATTTGAATTACACCTAAAGGGCACTAGAGTATGCACTGTATGTGACGGGAACGCAGGTCACCTAATTCTAAATTACACCTGAAACCTGGCAGGTCCCTGGCACCGAAATTTTAATTCACCTAAAACTTCATGTTTTACAGTACCTAAGCATTGGAAGGGAACAGAAGCGGAACATTTGGCTACTGCATGCGCATTATACCTGCCAACCTGTGCAAACCTGAGATCGGGACAATGACATACCTAGGTACCAAAATGTATACAAAATGTAGCCGTGGGGCATGCGGCAAACGCACTTCTGGGTGCCTATTACCACCCTCAATGTCGGGACGGTTCCGGCCAAATAAGGATGGCTGGTAGGTATGCTGCACACAATAGAACACCAAGTCAGAATGCGAGGCTTTCACATTATTATTTATTATTCAACTCTTACATGATCAACATCACTGAACCTCCATACAGGCCACTACTAGTAGAGGGTTCCTTGTAGCCAGGGCAGCCCCACTTGCTGTTCAGAATCATGTACTGTAGATGCATCCAGATGGAACGGTGCGCACATGCCCAAGTGCACAGCCAAGCGGCCAGAAGATGCACACACACACACGCACGCACGCACGCACGCACGCACGCACACACACACACACACATTTTATTATTATCATTTCTTGTTTTCCCTTGCATATCATCCCTTCATCATTTTGTGAGAACCTGTCCTATGATCAGGTGAGAAGGCACCTCTGCCTGATCATCTGGTGAAGTAAAATAAACAACAACAAAACACATACACAGACACACAAACAAAAACACATCATTATTCGAAAGCATATAATTATGCATATTCATGCACACACACATGTGCGTGTGCACACACTCACACACACATATACAGACACACACACACACACTCACACACACACACACACACACACACACACACACACATACACCATGTACCATGTATACCCCCGTCGCAAGAGAAGCACGCAAATCTGCAAATGCACAGGATGTGCATCCACAGATTATCTCTTATAGCAACGACAGCGAACAAGATCTGAATGAGACAGATCAACACTTGCGCCAGATAACTGTCTAATCCACACAACTGGCGAAGCCATGTGAATCGACCACCAATGCACACCTGGTCTACACCACACGGAGTACATCGGCATAAAATGGCCAAGACAGTTACCTATGCACACCCTACACTTGCTGGGGTAACCAGTACAGACAGCACGCTGCTTTGATAGAAGCAGACACTAGATGCACTGGTACCTTGAAGTGATATTGGAGTTACTTTACCAACCAGCCTCGGCTACTAAGTACTGGGAACCCAGAGCCAACAGACATACCAAAAACCTCAGCCATGAAAGCTATATAGTAGCGACACACTGGATTGTGGAGCCGAAACTAGTCCAACTTCCAAATGCTTTGGCAAGAAGGTAGCCTTCCGACAGGTTGGCACACACACAAACACACACACTCACACACAAACACAGACACACTCGCAAACACACACACAGACACACACAGACACAGACACACACACACACACACACACACACACACACACACATGCACACACACACACACACACACACACACACACACACACACACACACACACACACACACACAAACACACACACACACACATTGCCACCAACACACGCATACTCATAAAAATTATTATGAAAGATATCTGATCATCAGAAGATCAGGTACCCAACTTAAATCTCACCATTTTCATGAAAAGTTGGCTGCAAGTCACGCTAGAAGGCTGCAGCCAAGTTATCATACATAACGGTACAATTTCTCGTATCAAATTCCACATGCATCTACTTTTCTGGGTAAAGTTCATTGATGTTAGTTGTATATCTTTCGCGAAGCCATGGCTCGGGAATGAGTCACCGGCCTTCCTGTTTCGCCATTGGGTAAGTTTCTTTCTCAGCTCGATGCAAGTAATCATGCAGTAGTGAAATCCTGTGCTTAAAGGGGAAGTTAAGGCAAAAATTAAAATTTCACCAGTTGTAGTCTTCGGGGTGCTGAGTCGAATGGTCTTGGTCCGAGAAAGCTGAGACGCTCCCTTCCTACTTGAATCCCAATCGAACTCGCGCACTTCCACCGAAACTGGGTGACTGCGCCCTACTAGATGGGGATTTGTATGCAAAATGTCACTAAAAGCGCCTTTTCGTTCTTATAAAAGCACGGATGACCGCGACTGGCCCATATGTTGTAGTCTTTTGGACGCTGAGTCGACTGGTTTTGGTCCGAAAAGGCTGCGAGGCAGCGTTCCTCCTTTATTCCCAATCGAACATGGTTTAACAAGCGGTCACGTGCTCCTGGGTGCCCAAATCACCTGGTCACCACGCCAGCAGGCGACAACTTTCACACCAAGGTTCAACTCGAGTGACAGGACTGCACCAAAAAAAGGTCAAACAGGCTAGTAAGTTGTACCCTGCAGGCACGGTGACCAGGTGACTGGTGTACGCAGGAGCACGTGACCGCTTGTTCAACCATATTCGATTGGGAATAAAGGAGGAACGCTGCCTCGCAGCCTTTTCGGACCAAAACCAGTCGACTCAGCGTCCAAAAGACTACAACATATGGGCCAGTCGCGGTCATCCGTGCTTTTATAAGAACGAAATGGCGCTTTTAGTGACATTTTGCATACAAATCCCCATCTAGTAGGGCGCAGTCACCCAGTTTCGGTGGAAGTGCGCGAGTTTGATTGGGAATAAAGGAGGAGGGGAGCGTCTCAGCTTCCTCGGACCAAGACCATTCGACTCAGCATCCCGAAGACTACAACTGCTGAAAATTTGATTTTAGGGTATACTTCCCCTTTAATGGTCTACTGCACTTTGATCTACTCAATCTGCGGACAGCATACTGTTTTGTCCTTTGTAGACTCAACAGCACAGCACAGCAAAAATGAAGACGAGCCTGATAGCAATGAAAAATAATTTTTCCAGTACGACATTTAAGAAAGCATGTCTGAGAATACCAAAGTATGTGTACAAGTGGATCTCTCCGATTTTGCTCAAAATTTGGAGGTAGGTTCCCTTTGGGGTGTGAATTGATTTTGCAGAGCCCTTGAAAGTGTTTCTGAAGGGAACCTTGAAATTTGCCTACCCCTCAAAAATGGCCGAAATATCACATTATTTGGCCCAGAATCTGCGAAAACCAGGCTTAGGGTGAAAATCATTTTTTTGAGAAAATTGATGTTTTGTAAAAAGGTTGTGTCGCGTGGACGATCGAGTGCAGTGAAGTGGAACCAAAGAGAATCTCGCTTGTTTGAAGAAGTAGCAGTCATGGCAGGAAGGGTTTCAGCAGTCAGGGAAGTCAAAGGGCTTCCGGTAGAATATTCCCTGCTACTCCTCTACTAGGCTCTAGTCACAACGAAGAGTTTTTGAGCTGATCGAACGGATTCCATCTCCTACACTCAGGGATGGCGAAATTTCTGCCCTAGCTGCTGCTTGCGGAAAATTGTGAAGAAATCGTCTCCAGTTAGAGTCCTGATGGCGTTAGCGAGGAGAACCTGGACGACATCGATCCAGCCAATCGAAGTACGGCGATACTAGCTGTTTCTGGGCCTCACGCAAAAGGAACACGCGCAGCAGAGCTCATACGTTTGCAGCAAGTTCACGAGGAAAAAGGCTTGAAGCGCAGTGTGAAAACTGTTTTGAATTGAAGTCCTTGGTGATGAAGTGCTACTGGAGGCCAGGCGAATGAGCGAGCAGAGCGAGAGGCCCCCACTCGAGACTTTCCTCGCTGGTCAGCTAGCTGCAAGGGATTGTACAGCGTGCCGATATTTCACTTGCTGGTCAGCACCAAGCAGATACTGCAGCACGCCAGCACACTATGCGCTTACTATGAGCAGTGGAACAGTTTGAAATGCTGTGTTCTTGCTTGTTTCTGAACAGTTGAACTAGATTCACCCGTCAAAAGGTGCCATCTCAACTGGAGTCGGGTTTCCTTGTGGTGTGTAGCGCCAGAGCATGCCAGCACATGCATTGAGCCCCAGAATGTGCTGAGTGAGGAGCAAAAAAAATTCATGCAGAACTGTGCATGGCCACTACAGCCTGCAGCACCAAGGGGCCACAACAAGCCTGCCCCCACATGCCTACCTTGTCATGTCATCTAAACAAAAAATCATCCATGTCTCTTCCTTCAATCTGGTGCATCTCTCTTCATTTCTTTCCTGTGATAACAATTTTGTGTTTTTTTGGGATTTTTTGACACAATACCCTAGTGTATTTGAGATAGATTTAATACCACTATTAGTCGACCCACACCTGTAATATTTTGTTTCCTAACCTCCCATGCCCAGTAGAAGCTGAAAATGGGAAAAAGTCATTTTGTGAAATTTCACCCTAAGCCTGGTTTTCGCAGATTCTGGGCCATTTATGGGTCTAGATACGAGTCACGCCACAGCGTATACGAACAAGCTATGAACAAAACTCCACCAAGCCAACATTGCCTCACCTGAGAAGAGTTCCTGGAGCAGTACCGCTTAGCCACGCCAGGATCCCAGAAGACGAGGTCCATCACCCCCTGACGCCACAAATGATCGTCTTGAAAATAGCCAATTTACAAGCGCTGGCAAAACAGCCAGCGACGTCTTCATTTGGCCAGAACTATACACCGGCAGACATTAGAACACCTCTTCTAGCGCTGAGGACATGTCCCCCATCTTCCTTTTTGGGGTTTTCTCGAAATAAACCTTTTTGAATTTTTCCCCTCGACCATGCTGAAATACGGCCAAAGTCATACCTGCGCAGGAAAGCTCTCCCCTCCGCGACGTCTCCTCAGCAATTTCTACTCCAACGCTACTCCCAAGGCCGCATAACAAAGTGTATTGTTGGCTCTGACAATGAAAAGCAGCGGTGATCACCTGTCACTCCAAACGACAAGCTTCTCCTTGCGCCACCAATAATATTTTTGTGCGACTGTTGATGCAAAAGTGATTGCACTGTGAAATCACGTGCCTTGTGACGCAAGAATACCATGTCGCGTGGATCACGGGTTTCAGAACCACCTTCGTCAAGTGCGCTTGTTACTTGCCTTGAAGTTGAACGCCCGTTGGTCTGGAAGTGATCACACTTGTGTTGTTACTGCGCTCAAGAACACGCTGACTGTGTGGTAGGCCTACAAACCGGGACTTTCCCTGACCATGTAGGTCGAAGACCAGCGAAATGATGATGAAATCACATTCTTTATGCCGTAAGAAATCTCTCATGCAGTTCACGCGACAGGTTCGTGCAGCCAGTGCCGCTCGCGTGCCAGTCAACACAAAGCGACCGAGCTAGCAGCTTTTGTCGAGCATCGACATGAAAACAAGGGACTTTTACCGTTGGACTATGTTCGGAATTGCAGGAGGTAAGTGTGAAAGATGAATAACTCTCCATGCTGTACGGGGAGCATATTTCAGCGGCTTGCTGCCATTGCAACACTCCTAGGACAGTTTGTGGGGGTTCTCAGCAGATCAAGCAGGAAATGCAGCTCATCTTACCTCTAGCTCTGCCATCATGATCTGTTCCGAGTAGCGTTCCAGTCACGTTCGCGATCGATGGCCGCGAGCCGTGATCCAGGAAGCGTCATCCTACGTCAGAGAGCACGTGATCTCACCGTGCATCTTGCAATAAAATTCAAAAACTGCGGTCAGGATTTCAGTCGCTTTTGCATCAACAGTCGCACAAAAAATTATTGGTGGGCCAAGGAGAAGCTTGTCGTTTGGAGTGACAAGTGATCACCGCTGCTTTTCCTTGTCAGAGCCAACAATATATGTTGCTCTGCGGCCTTGGGAGTAGTGCTGGAGTAAAAATTGCTGAGGAGACGTCGCGGAGGGGCGAGCTTTTCTGCACAGGTATGACTTTGGCCGTATTTCAGCATGGTCGAGTGGAAAAATTCAAAAAGGTTTATTTCGAGAAAACCCGAAAAAGGAAGATGGGGGACATGTCCTCAGCGCTAGAAGAGGTGTTCTACTATCTGCCGGTGTATAGTTCTGGCCAATTGAGGACGTCGATGGCTGTTTTGCCAGCGCTTGTAAATTGGCTATTTTCAAGACGATCATTTGTGGCGTCAGGGGGTGATGGACCTCGTCTTCTGGGATCCTGGCGTGGCTAAGCGGTACTGCTCCAGGAACTCTTCTCAGGTGAGGCAATGTTGGCTTGATGGAGTTTTGTTCATAGCTTGTTCGTATACGCTGTGGCGTGACTCCTTTCTAGACCCATAAATAGTATGATATTTCGGCCATTTTCGAGGGGTATGCAAATTTCAAGGTTCCCTTCGGAAACATTTTCAAGGGCTTTGCACAATCGATCCACACCCCAAAGGGAACCTACCTGCAAATTTTGAGCGAAATCGGAGAGATCCACTTGCACACATACTTTGGTATTCTCAAACATGCTCTCTTAAACCAGGCCCGGACGTACCTTGCCAGAGTGCTCAACTGACAAATCGCTTTCACTGAACTTTCTTCTATGGATCAATTCGCATCGGCGATGGCATAATTTGGCCCGCGCTTAGCGTCAGTGTGTCAAGGCTGTGATTGCGAGTATGAGTTGCGCAGATCACGGGTCACGTAGGACTTCCAAACCTGAGGCGTCAGTCACAACACACACGGTTTTGCGTTCTGTGATCCCATGTGGTCTCCCGGTACTTTACTTCTCCCGGGTTCGCACAGACAAACCTAAACTTCTAAAGACAGGAAACAATTCACAGCTCGTGTGAGACTCAGTTAGACTGATTTCTCCACATCCGCACGAATTCACCCACCCTCTAGGAGTACGGTGTAATGTGTGTGTGTGTGTGTGGGGGGGGGGGGGGTAACAGGGGGAGGTAACAGGGGGGGGGGTAACAGGGCGGGAGGTAACAAGGGGGAGATAACAGGAGGAGGTAACAGGGGGGAAGCTAACAGGGGGAAGGTAACAGCGGGGGAGGTAACAGGGGGGGGGAGGTAACAGGGGGGGAGGTAACAGGGGGGGGAGGTAACAGGGGGGAGGTAACAGGGGAATGGAGGTAACAGGGGGGAAGGGAGGTAACAGGGAAATCCTTACGCTAGTTAGAAGACGCCACTGCCAGTTTTCCTCCTCTGCGTCGAAGATGAGATCATCATCCTTGCTCATGTCACACCGAACATTTAGCTTGAGTTGCCTGCACACAGAATGGTGGATAAACAGCCGGGCATAGACATATGGACACACGTATACCAGCAGCACATGTACACACGTATCCCAGGCGTACAGCTTGTAAATGACGCATCACAGCAATGCTAGAGCCATGAGCAAGATCGGATGCAGTTTTTTCTGTGGTCACACATAAACATCTGCAAAACAAGAACCAGTTGTCGTGATTATGGAGGTATCCCGAAGGCCAAACGAGCCAGTAGAATGTGAACAAGCACACAAACCGTTCTCCCATCTAGCACACACACATGCCCACCCTGCGCTGCGATGATGAGTTCACATAGAACGAAACAGCATGCTGTCCGCAGATTGAGTATAGATATGTTCAAGCTGCAACCGGACTGACAACTTTATCACGTGTTTGTTCTGGTACTGCATTCCCTTCATGTGTTGTTTCCCGCATTTTTCCACTGCTCCATACATTCTTATGGTAGTGTAGTGTGAACTTGAGGCACTATCGCGCGCCCTGCATGCATCCCCTGATACACTTCGCATACATACTAATTCTTCCAAGTTTCTTCACGTTATGATCTTGCATTTGAAAGCCCTATTTGAATCTGCATTGTGGCCAGCCGTCTTTGACGGTACGGTACGGGATAGGTACGGGACAGGTACGATCGAGGGTAATGCGACACCGTCCACCGCCTTGATGACGGCAAAAAAAGCATAGGGATGTTATAAATTTTTCAATTCTCCTATTTTTTCAGGCATATCCTGGGATTTGAACCCGCACTATTGCCCTACATGCATTCCCCCATACACTTCGCATTCATACCCATTCTTCCAAGTTGCTTCACGTTATGATCTTGCGTTTGAAAGCCCTATTTGAATATTGCGGCCAGCTCTATGTGGCCAGCTGTGTTTGATTGCACGGTACGGTACGGGACAGATACGGGATAGCGCCAGGCGTGACACAAACAAACAAACAAACACCAAATTAAAGCTGTGTGGACCCTGGCTAGCGCCAGACGTTACTGAAGTAACGTCTTCTGCATAGCTACGGGAATAAAATTACTATTTTCAAGAGTTGGTGAAACATCCTTCGCGATAGACCTGAATACGTATGAGCATCGCGTGAACAGCCTGCACACTCTGCCAATTCATACACCATACCCGACACCATATCCAACACATGCACACAGGACAAGTACAGAGCCCTAAACATTGCCACCTGAAGCCTGCTTTTAAGCACGGAATATTCTCACCCCTAACTTAGTGCCTTCTTTCGCGCTTGCTGTGTGACTGGGTATATAACCTGTAGTGATCTAGTTGCCCTGTATCAGTTTGTTTCTATTGCCTGATGATTTATTCATTTCATGAAACTCAGAGTTGCAAAGAACGATGATATATCTCTGGTGAGGACCTAATCGTGCAGTGTATGTATATGTGAAAAGCTTTTAGTACTTTGAAATTGACAACCTTGTTGTTGTGTGTATATAAATTTTGTTCGCCTACCCCTCTATTTAAATATATATATATATTGAGTATATATATATATATATATATATATATATATATATACTATAGTTTGAGCACTCTGGCAAGGTACGTTCGGGCCTGATTGGAAATTTTTATTTCCATTGCTATCAGGTTCGGCCTCATTTCCTCTGTGCTGCGCTGATGAGTTCAAAAAGAACGAAACAGCATGCTGTCCGCAGATTGAGTATTTCGCTCCTGCTCTTGTAGCAGTTGAGCACTCTTGCGTGGGGTAGTGCCTTTGCTGTTTGCGTTATGCAGAGCTCACTGACTTGTCAGTTTGAGCACTCTGGCAAGGTACGTTCGGGCCTGATTGGAAATTTTTATTTCCATTGCTATCAGGTTAGGCCTCATTTCCTCTGTGCTGCGCTGATGAGTTCAAAAAGAACGAAACAGCATGCTGTCCGCAGATTGAGTATATATATATATATATATAGTATTTCGCTCCTGCTCTTGTAGCAGTTGAGCACTCTTGCGTGGGGTAGTGCCTTTGCTGTTTGCGTTATGCAGAGCTCACTGACTTGTCAGTTTGAGCACTCTGGCAAGGTACGTTCGGGCCTGATTGGAAATTTTTATTTCCATTGCTATCAGGTTCGGCCTCATTTTCTCTGTGCTGCGCTGATGAGTTCAAAAAGAACGAAACAGCATGCTGTCCGCAGATTGAGTATTTCGCTCCTGCTCTTGTAGCAGTTGAGCACTCTTGCGTGGGGTAGTGCCTTTGCTGTTTGCGTTATGCAGAGCTCACTGACTTGTCAGTTTGAGCACTCTGGCAAGGTACGTTCGGGCCTGATTGGAAATTTTTATTTCCATTGCTATCAGGTTCGGCCTCATTTTCTCTGTGCTGCGCTGATGAGTTCAAAAAGAACGAAACAGCATGCTGTCCGCAGATTGAGTATTTCGCTCCTGCTCTTGTAGCAGTTGAGCACTCTTGCGTGGGGTAGTGCCTTTGCTGTTTGCGTTATGCAGAGCTCACTGACTTGTCAGTTTGAGCACTCTGGCAAGGTACGTTCGGGCCTGATTGGAAATTTTTATTTCCATTGCTATCAGGTTCGGCCTCATTTTCTCTGTGCTGCGCTGATGAGTTCAAAAAGAACGAAACAGCATGCTGTCCGCAGATTGAGTATATATATATTTCGCTCCTGCTCTTGTAGCAGTTGAGCACTCTTGCGTGGGGTAGTGCCTTTGCTGATTGCGTTATGCAGAGCTCACTGACTTGTCAGTTTGAGCACTCTGGCAAGGTGCGTTCGGGCCTGATCGGAAATTTTTATTTCCATTGCTTTCAGGTTCGGCCTCATTTTCTCTGTGCTGCGCTGATGAGTTCAAAAAGAACGAAACAGCATGCTGTCCGCAGATTGAGTATATATATATATATATATACACACAACAACAAGGTTGTCAGTTTCATAATACCAAAAGCTTTTCACCCATTTTCATCAGTGGTTACATGGGAATGAGCAAGAACGAAAACGAAGCCAGAATTTATACTGGGGGTAGAGAATCAGCAAGAATATTCTTACGCGCCTCAAGTTCACACTACACTACCATAAGAATGTATGGAGCAGTGGAAAAATGCGGGAAACAACACATGAGGGGAATGCAGTACCAGAACAAACACGTGATAAAGTTGTCAGTCCGGTTGCAGCTTGAACAGCCGAGAACACAATTTTTTGAGAACACAATTCCAGACAGTCATTGGCCCCAATTCTATAGGCGTTATGTGGATGACACATTCGCAGCATTTCACAACCGGAAACTGGCATTGGAATTCTCTGAGCGTTTAAATAATCTTCACCCAGCTCTCCAGTTTACAATGGAGGAGGAGAATAATGGAGAATTGCCGTTTCTTGATGTATTGATTAAGCATTCTTCCACAGAATTGCTCACCACAGTATATAGAAAGCCGACGTTCACAGGTCTTTACACCCGCTGGGACTCGTTTTGTGACACTAGAAACAAAATCAATTTGATCAGATCATTAACTTTTAGAGCTAAAACCATCTGCTCACCATCACTATTATCAGCTGAAATTGCTAAGCTAAAGGATATTCTGTGTTCTAACGGTTACCCACTCAAAGTACTCAAGCGAGTCATGACAAGCGTTCTTGAACCTAGCCCAGATACAGCTTCTGCACAACTTGAATCTGCAACGCGTATTATCACAAAATTGCCGTGGAAAGGGCAAAATTGCATTGCCTTCCGCAAAAAGATTAAAGCTGCAATTTTGAACTGCTATCCTACAGTATCCCCCATTGTAATTTATACAACCAGACCCGCATTCAGGTCTATCGCGAAGGATGTTTCACCAACTCTTGAAAATAGTAATTTTATTAATAAGTATGCGTGTCGCTGTGAGCGGACGTACGTTGGTGAGACATGTCAGCGATTCTCGGAAAGGATCAAGCAGCATATCCCAGACAAGCTGTACAAGAAGCCGCCTGACAAACGTGTGGCAACATGTGATAGCGCCATCACAAAGCATTTGCAGGCGCAGCCTGAATGCATCCCACAGGAACGCAACAGCAGCTTCAGTGTGATCACACCAGCCCGAAACAGCGCGCACCGATTCACACTGGAGGCGCTGTACATCCGCAGTTTGAGGCCAGAACTGTGTCGACAAAAGAAGCACATCAAGGTGCTACGGCTGTTCAAGCTGCAACCGGACTGACAACTTTATCACGTGTTTGTTCTGGTACTGCATTCCCCTCATGTGTTGTTTCCCGCATTTTTCCACTGCTCCATACATTCTTATGGTAGTGTAGTGTGAACTTGAGGCGCGTAAGAATATTCTTGCTGATTCTCTACCCCCAGTATAAATTCTGGCTTTGTTTTCGTTCTTGCTCATTCCCATGTAACCACTGATGAAAATGGGTGAAAAGCTTTTGGTATTATGAAACTGACAACCTTGTTGTTGTGTGTATATATATATATATATATATTGCCTGAAGAGTGCTTTTGCACGAAACTCAGAGTAGCAACACTGAGAAACTTGGAGATCCTTTGTGTCTGAGTGTATAACCCCGCTCTGTCTTAGGACATTGAGCACTTTTTGCCGATGCAAGAAATACTTCTATTGTTCTATATATATATATATAGAAAATGTTGAACGGCCTCTGCTGGGATGACGACTACACCATAGCTCAGTGGTTAGAGCATCGCTGGCTACAAGCGAGGGTCCCTGGTTCGAGTCCTGGTGGTGGCAGTCAATTTTTTCTTCAGACTTTTCCTGTTTGTCTCTTTCCCTCAAACCAGTTAATATTTTATGACTTGGGGCTCCCCGCGTGCTGGTTTGTACGTGAAGTGTGTGGGTTACAGTGAGGGCTGCGTCCCACCCGCCTGTGTGGATTCACAGGAAGTGTGAGTTACGAAGTCTGAAGAAAATGTTGAACGGCCTCTGCTGGGATGACGACTACACCATAGCTCAGTGGTTAGAGCATCGCTGGCTACAAGCGAGGGTCCCTGGTTCGAGTCCTGGTGGTGGCAGTCAATTTTTTCTTCAGACTTTTCCCGTTTGTCTCTTTCCCTCAAACCAGTTAATATATATATATATATATATATAAGAACGAAACAGTTCTGTCCGCAGATTGAGTATATATAGATATCTATCTATTCCCGTAGCTATGCAAAAGACGTTACTTCAGTAACGTCTGGCGCTACCCAGGGTCGCTACCCAGGGTCCACACAGCTTTAATTCCATGTTTGTGTGTTTGTGCCGTCAGCATGCCTGGTGCTATCCCGTACCGTACCATCAAAGACAGCTGGCCAAAATATTCAAATAGGGCTTTCAAATGCAAAATCATAACGTGAAGAAACTTGGAAGCATGAGTATGTATGCGAAGTGTATTGGGGGAATGCTTGCAGCGCAGGGCGATAGTGCGGGTTCGAATCCTAGGTTATGTCTTGAAAAAAAATAGGAGAAAACGAAAAATTTATAACACCCCTATGCTTTTTTGCCTAGGTCATCAAGGTGGTAGACGGTGTCGTATTACCCTCGAATGCAAAGAGAAAGTTTATTTATTTTGCTCAGGGTCTTACGCTTTGCTTTTTTTGCCTAGCTCACCATGCATGCTATTCGAACAGACGAAATTTTTGCAATACAATAACATGCATGATGAGCTATCCAAAAAAGCATAGCGTAGGGCCCTGAGCTTCCAAGCTCTCTTGTTCCACATGCTTCAGACCTCAGACCTGCCCATCGCGGAAGCGATGATAGCAAACAGCTATGTTAGACATAGCAACTTGTGCTGGGATTACACCATTCGACAGCTTGCAAGGCTGATGAATTGACCGCCACTAACTTTAGCCTGGTATCCACCACACAGCTGATTGAAGTGGCTTTTTCCTGGCCAGCGAATCCCTATTTTTCATTTTTTTCACACACGCCACACCACATACTCCGGCATACACTGGCTGTTGGTAACCACCCAGGAGAATGAAAGAAGAGCTAGGAGAATGAGAAAGAGAAGAAAGACGTGTGCGACCATAATCGTCGGGAATTGAACCCGCAACCTCTCGATTGGAAATTGACTGCACACACCACTGCACCATATGTGACACACGCGCACGCACGCACACACACACACACACACACACACACACACACGAACAGACGGTGATTTCACGTACCGAATGTTGTCTCCATTGGGTGTCCCATTGTTGTAAGTAAAGACAATTTGTGACGGGTTAGTTGCGATGACATCAAAGTTCACAGATGAAGTCTTTCCCAGACTGTAGACATCATTGGCACCAGCTTCCTGACAAGCCTAGAGACAAAACAAATGTGAATATACAATGTACGCATGGTATTATGTGCAGGCTTTGTGAACGTGACACTATGCACATCTGCTGGACTGTCCTCGCCCATGCCGGAGTCCAGGTGTAGAGAAATTACAACTCAAATCTGCCTTCAGCAAGGAAGGATTCAAGGGCCCTAAAACAGGTCGCGCAAGTCCACAGCTAGGAGCCCACAGCTACTTTCCTCCTTTCACTACGGGCTAGTGACACGATGTGCTGAATTCATGGCAGCAGGCAGACGCACCAGGAAAATGCGAAAAAAAGAAGAAAACCCAGTCGCGTGGTTTGAAGCGGACTTTCGAGTGGCACTGGAGTCGGTACTGGCTGGCAAAGTCTGCAGAACTGACCTGGGACTTGCCGTGAACGCATCACACAACAGCTGGTGGTCTGGCCTGAAAGATCGAGTTTCAGCGTACTTCAAAGTATGTGTATAGAGGTTTTGTGTGCGGTGACAGAATTAGGAGAGATGCTTCGGCGAATTGGGGGCACAGCACTGGACACTTGCAATAGCGGTAGCAACTCATGCTGCATACTGTGGAACCTGTCAAGGCAACCACCTGTCCTGGAAGACCACTGAAACCAGGACCAAGGGATGCTATTTCCAG